ACACACACACACACACACACACACACACACATTTGCTTTTATTTTACGTGTATGGGTGTTTTGCTTGTGTGTGTACCATGTGCATGTGTGTCTAATGCCTCCAAAGGCCAGAGAGGGTGTCAGATCCACTTGAATAGGAGTTACAGACAATTGTGAGCCACCATGCGGGTGCTGGGAAATGAACCCAGGTCCTCTGGCAGAGCTCTTAACTGCTGAGCCACCAACCACTCCAGCCCCATTTTTGTTCCGTCTGTAAAAAGCTATAGCAACCTGACTCATATGACTAGTGACTACTTCCACTCCTTCCTCCCATGGCTCTCAGCCCAAGAGAAGTAAAGAAAAGGGTTGAGGCTATAGCTCAATAGCAGAGCACTTGCCTATCATGTGTGAGCCCCTAGATCTAATCTCTAAAAAAAGAAATTCTTAAAACATACATGGAGTTTTCATCCTGTGACAGTTTGAATAAGAATGTCCCCCACAGGTTCCTATATTTGAATGCTTATTGGATGAGTAGGTGTGGCCCTGTTAGAAGAAGTGTGCCACTGGGGGTGGGCTTTGAGGTTTCAAAAGCCCATGCCAGGTTCAGTCTCTATTGCCTGTGGATCAGAATTTAACTCTCAACTACTTCTCCAGCACCATTCCTGTCTGAATGCTCCCATGCTCCCCATCATGATGATAATGGTCTAAACCTCTGAAGCCATAAGGAAGTACCTAATTAAATTCTTTCTCTTTTAAGAGTTGCTTTGGTCATGGTATCTCCTCGCAGCAACAGAACAGTGACTAAGACACCTCCCTAAAGTTCTTATTCCCATGTAATTATAAAAACAGATAAGACAAATAAAGAGCATAGTTCATTCATTCTCCCCTCTGACTTAAAACATGTAAGATTATAGCTGCAGCACATGCAACAAAGGAAGTATTCCTATTGCCTTACAGGCACATTCACAGAGGTAATGATGAGTACATGTTTGTTGTAGAATATTATTTTACGGTGTTTATTTGTTTATGCGGTGGAACATTTGCTTAATGATGTAAAGATGTGTTGCATTACTTTATGTTGCATTTGTCTGACTCTGTGAAGCTGTGTTACTGTGCCTGTCTAAAACACCTGATGGTCTAATAAAGTGCTGAACAGCCAATAATGAGGCAGGAGAAAGGACAGGCAGGGCTGGCAGGCAGAGAGAATAGATAGGAGGAGAAATCTAGGAGGAAAAGATTGACATACAAAAGAAAAGAAGAGAAGAGAACTCCAGGGGCCAGCTACTCAGCCATACAGCAAGCCACGGAGTAAGAAGGAAGGCATACAGAGATAGAAAATGGCAAAAGCCCAGAGGACCTAAAGTAGATGGGATAATTTAAATTAGGAAAAGCTGGCTAGAAACAAGCCAAGCTAAGGCCAGGCATTCATAAGAAAGAATAAGCCTCTCTGTGATTTATTTGGGAGCTGGGTGGTGAGCTTCCAAAGAGCAAAAGATCCAAAGAATAAAAAAAAAAAAAAAACAGCTACACATGTTAAGTGTCTGTAACACAAACAGGTGGATATTAAACACTGTCCAGTTCTTTTCTGAAAATACATTTTTATATTAAGATACATAAGTCTTCTTAAACTGTTCCATCACCAAAGCGATCTTAAATTGATGGACTGAAAAATTGTCAGGTACTAACACTTGACAACTCAATGCATAAATCTAATATGAAGTTTCATTTTCAAACGGCTATACTTGCAGTATTATTTTTACTAACTCAAGAAAGGAGACAATATCATTATGAAAATATCAACTGCCCTTGCTCTTCCCACAGCACACTGGTGTTGTGCTCACCTGTACTTCAAAGTCTCCATGTCCACAGCCTTGCTGTTCTTGTGTGGCTAGCACAGAAGAAAGGCTCTTCCTTTACATCTTATCCCAGAGCAGCTTACTGCCCAGATAACACTACAGGTAGGCCACCTGGACATGATCTTTACAGTGACTCATAACAGTTTAAAACAAAGGCACGTAAGGACAGAGTAAGATTTAACCCGAGTTCATCAAAAAGCATTCTTGAAACAATACAAACTTTAGCTGTGCCATTGGCTTTTGATAAAGGCCTCCCAGTTGACCATGTTGAGTTGTCACTGTACAGAAACCAAAAGCTGTACTGATGTAGAAATGTTAAAGTTAATTTTTATACAAGGGCAATGCATTAAATGTGTTACATAGGAAGTATGTAAGGCCTTATCTATGCAAGTTCAATTAGTATTTCCTAAATAATGAAAACACCTCCTTTTCAAATTGGTTACTGTAGTGAAATTCAGTTGAACTGAAGTTTCTGAATGCTGCAACTGTTACCACTTACTTATCTTTTATCTCAAAACGCTCATGAAGCCATTTTTTCATGTGTTCTTGTTCCTCTGGAACTTCATTTTTGTCTATACGATCAAAGTGAATATGAAGTTTGGGACACTGTTTGCAGAGAAACTCTAACAAAGAAGAAAAAGATTTCAGGTCTTACTACTCTAGAATTCATGATTATATAATGTAACTTACAATGAAAACAAAGCAATAAAGACCCAAAAAGCTGGAAAACAAACAAACAAACAAAAAACCCAAACAAACAAAAAAACAAAACCAAAAAACAAAACAACTATAAACTCATGACTTGCAGTATTAAGCTCAGGTTGAAAAATCCATCCATATTAGCCCACAGCACTTGCTAACTCTGTGTCGGCTATCACTGACTAACACTGAACTTGAGAAGCAGCCATCCCTCCTAATGGAAATGTCCTAATGAAAACTATTACTTTGTACACTAACTTAAAGATTAATTTTTAAAATAGTTAAAAGTTAAAATCTTTTATGTTTTAATGCTTTCTCTCTTTTACTTTCAAAGCTGATTCCTTCCTCAAAGTATATGTAAGAAAGCTGGCTGGTTTTGACCATCAAACTGCTTCATGATCCTACAGGTTAACATGAAGATAAAGATGAGTGCTAGGGAAGTATTTAATACAAAAGGAATGTGTGGAGCCAGGGACTGCAGATTTTTTAAAAAATAAACTTTAAGTCTTCGTCACACTGTGGTGTGCAGACATTTCTTAGAGCATGTCTGCCTTCTGCCCCTTCCTCCATAGTACTGGGATTATAAGAGAGCTCTTTGCATGTGGCAAATATGTCTCTCTCCTCTCTCCCTCTTTCCCCTCTCTAAAACGAGTACTCTGAAAGGGGCCAGAATCTTTCACCACTCCTTTATTCACCTGTTCCCATGTTCAAATGTTGACTTTGTGGCTACAGTTACCTAAACTTTTCTCACTGAAAACCCTTTGGTTAAAATCTAGCACATGCTTGAAAAGGCACAATTTCTTCTTGTCCAATAATACAAATGTCCTTCCCAAACATGCTATAAAGGAGGTTCAAGACAAAAAAACATTAAAAGAAGGGGGCGAGCTGGATGTAGGAGCCTGAGTTCCAGGGCAGCTTGGTCTACATAGTTGAGTTCCAGGAGAGCCAGAGCAACACAGTGGGACCCTGTATTGAAAAATAAAACCAAACCAAGCCAAACAAAACAAAAACAACAAAAGAAGAAGGTTCAAGGCTACACTGACCATCACTGTACTCCTTGACACTGCTAGCTGAGCAGCTTGTCCTCATATCTTTGTAGATCTTTCCAGTTTCATATGTGAACCTCTGGCAGAAAGAAGCCAGGTTAAAGACCTCCACAGACTCATCAGACACGTGAAATTTAGAATGATGAGTAAATTTCAAATGATATACATTAGTACCCACCAGTAAGTGAAATAAAGGAAGCCATCTGAGGGGCTATACAATCGTAACACAGGGGTAGCTGAATCAGGAGGATTGCAAATTCAAGGCTAGAGCTAAATAGCAAGACACCATACTTCCCCAGTAAAGCAGTGAGTACACTCACCAATTAAAACAATAAAGAAAGAAAAGAAAAGAGTTTATATCTTACCTGTATCATGTACTACTCAGCCTCCAACACACGGAAATATGGACTTACCAGTCATGGACGGTGAGTTCGAGTATTTTCCTGACCCTTTCTCAGTCCCTTCGTAAACCACTGTGACATCGTAAATTGCATCTAAATGATTCTTCATAGAATCAAAAGCAACGTGAGTTGCCTTTATTCTTGGTGTCAGCACGTGCTTTAATACTGGAAGGCCTAAAAAGCAGGTGGATTCAGTGCGGTCATGATTAGGAATACATTAAATTCAACATCTAAATTACTTATCAGCTACCACAAATAGCCAGGAATTAAAGTTTATGCCCTAACCTCACATCTATGAGCTGGCTATATGCTTAGAATGCTCTCCTGCATTACCATCTTTACGTAGGTCAAAAAGCACTGAACATATATTCATTAACCTTCTACATGAATGAGACCTCCTGATGGAAGGTGGTCCTCAGGAAGCTTATGACCCACTGGGACCCTTCTCTTTGGTAACCCTGGTAGGAAAGATACCACAGAAGGGCAGCAACATCTTGCTAATCACTCAGATTTTCTTAGGAGAAGAATTCATCATTCCCTCCACTCTCTTCTGCTGCTTCCTCTTCTTGACTTGAGTGTGGACTGACAAGTTCACAGGAAACACTAGGTCTTACTATGTAATCTGAACAGTGATTAGGGAGAACTCGATTTGAAGTTTCTACTGCCTCTCTCCAGGGAAAGTGGAAGAACAGCTACAGTATGGTGGGACTGTCTACAGAAGAATTTTTAAAATGCAGGGTGGTGTGGGAAAGAAAACGATTCCCACAACCACATGTCTGACTTCAGTCCCCAGGGCAGAAGGAGTATAATTTATTCACAAACTTGTACCAAAGTCTGAAAAGTCAACCAAGCTGGGGAACATTTCTTGTCAGCTAAGTCCTTCTTTGCTACTGGAGACCATCCAGTCTCAGGACTTTGATAAGCATACACTGTCAAACTTGCATGTTACCTTGACCAGATTTTTTTTTTTTAAGACAGACCCAGGCTGGCCTCAAATTTCTGATCCTCCCACCTTAGATCTAGGCGCTGGGATCAGAGGGATGTACTACCATTTCTGGCTCAACCAGTATTTTTATTAGATGATTAGGACTGGAAGCCCAAAAGGAGGGTTAGATGTGGTGTCAACATATGAGGAGAAAAAACTCACAGAAAATTCTTGCCTGTCTGTACCTATTAACACCCAGTCCACGAATGTTCAATTATTCCAACCACACAAACTATGTCTACAACTAAGACAAAGCCTAGCCCTTCTGTGATTACATACAAGGAAACCTCCATCCTAAGTCAGATAGCATGTCCCCTCTAATCTTCATGCAGAAAGAATTGTGATCCCAACCAAGTGCTTCTCAGTTCTGAAGCAAGATGTGGTACACACTCTCCTGAAATGTGAAGTCATTAAGCTAACTGATCCTTCATAGTGTATTTATCCAATTCCTAGACATAGACTTAAGGGACTTGTATGAAAATGCCATAATGAACCCATATTTTATGGACTAATTTAAAAAACTAATAATTAAGCCAGGCGGTGGTGGTGCATGCCTTTAATCCCAGCACTCGGGAGACAGAGGCAGATAGATCTCTGTGAGTTTGAGGCCAGCCTGGTCTACAGATCCGAGTTCCAGGACAGCCAGGACAACACAGAGAAACTGTCTCAAAAAACCAAAAACAAAATAAAACAAAACAAAACCCTAATATTAAAAAAAGAGAAAATTGTCTAAAAAAATAGACAAAAATAAATAGCCCCCTCCATGGACTATCCAGCACCTGCTCTGGTATTTACTCTGCTTTGCTTTTGTCTCCAGATCTCCTCAATTATTCTGTTCTATAAAACACACTTCAGAAATGGGGTCAAATATGGGGTCAAAAGCAGTTATACTTGGCATGTCTGGTAAAATAGGGAGCTGAATAGAGACAACCTACCTTCCCTTTACTACTAAACCCTTTGGTCAAGGTTCACCCTCAGAGACACAGTGGTGGCTCAGTGACAGGACACAGGTTAGAGTCATCTGGGAAGAGGGGCTGTCAATTAAGACAATGCCTCCAGAAGAGTTTGCCTGTAGGCCAGCCTAGAGTGCATTTTTTTTTTTTTTTGATTGATGACCAATGTGGGAGGGCCCAGCTCATGGTGGGCAATGCCACATCTAGGCTGGTGATCCTAGGGGCTGTAAGATAGCAAGGTGAGTAAGTCATGAGGAGTAAGCCAACGAGCAGCACTCCTCCATGGTCTCTGCATTAGTGTTTGCCTCCAGGTGACTGCCTGTTTGAATTTCTGCTGTCTGCCCTCAAAGATAGACTATGATGTAGAACTACAGGCTAAAACAAACCCTTTCCTCCCCAGGTTGCTTTGGGTCATGGTATTGTATCAAAGCAATGGGAATCCTAACTAAGACAGCAGAGAGTTTATGATGTTCTTAATGGCCAGAGAAAGGGGAAAACAAATAGGGTTGCTGATGTTCCAGAATGAGAGGCAGAAACAAATGGGCTCAGTGGGGCTAGTGAGATGGCTGAGACGGCACATGGGTTTGCTCCCTAACACATGCTTCTTAAACATACAGCTATGGCACATAATGAGCTCTGTCTTCACGGAGTGAGCAAATCCAGTCTTCTTGGTCTTTCTACTGCCTCTCAACATTAGCTTAGCCATCACTAACAGACCTGCCTGCTGTGGCATCTGACATCCACCCTCTGATTATTACACATCCAGTTGTATTTCTGTATGATACATATATATTTGTGTATGTTTATTTTTGCTATACACCAGTTTTTTATACTGAGTCACTCACAAAAGTGCACTTTCTCTGAATAACCATTTACTTACATTTTAACTCAATTCACAGCATGGGAATATGTGCCACAGCAAGCATGTGAATCTAACCTCTACAACACAAATTACTAAGAATCTACTTAACTCTGTAAAAGATCAGACATTCTTTCATTCAGTTCTTAAGAAAAACACATATTCTCATGGACTGGATATGGCTCAGGGGTTATGGAGCTCTTCCAGAGGTCCTGAGTTCAATTTCCAGCAACCACACATGGTGGCTCACAACCATCTACAATGAGATCTGGTGCCCTCTTCTGACATACAAGCAGAACACTGTATACATAATAAATAAATAAATAAATAAATAAATAAATAAATAAATAAATAAACAAACAAACAAACTTAAAAAGAAAAAAAAGGAAGAAACATGTTCTCCAGGAAGAAAGAATCTAAAGAAAACAAAGATCATTTTCCTTAAAAAGTATTTTTCTGAATACAGTCAAACTTTGACTCACCTCGTTGAGCAGCAAATGCCTGACTGGCTGAAAGGAGTTTTGTCTGTGTTCTGTTATACCTTGTTCCCTCTGGAAAAATCACAAGATACATCTGTGGGGCACAAATGAACTTGAGTTTGCGTGAGTCCACTGTTGTTAGCACTGACTTAGCAATTCCAACTGTTACTGTTGCGGCAGTGTTTCATAGGGTGAGAAAACGTGTACTCATGTATAAACAACCTTTACTTTTAGCAGAGTAACCCAAAATGCAGATTCAATTAAGGCTGACCACAACATGGGCTGTAATAAAACGTAGCTCTACATTTATGGTAAAGCCAATCTTTAAAAATCTAAAACTGTTTTAAAAAGTTTTAGAACATGCTAGTTAGTCACTAATATAAAATCTGGACACAAAACGCTGCCCTGTGATAAATGATCACCCACCTCCAGTTCCCAAAAATAAACCGTGATTTTTAAATATTTTTGCATATATTAAAATTTTATTAGCACATATTAACTCTACATGTTAGTGGAATCTGCTGTACGTCTGCACAAACACACACAGAGCACACTCATCATATCCAACCTTCAATCTTCCACCATTACAGGAGTGTAGCTAGCAATGTCCTTAAGTATCAAGGCTAACAGTACATCCATCTGAAAACTGCCTATGAATTTAGTATTTGCGTTTCAAAAGGCTCCTACAATATTCCATTTTATAGAGCTCTCCGAGTGTTTTCTACATCATTTACTTTAAGCCACCTCATACTCGTACATAAAACTGAGAATGCAGTATCTGCAAACAAAACGAAGTATCAAGACAGATACTAAGTCATCAATTGATATGATTTTATACTTAATTATCTTAGGAAAGTAAAAATAAAAATGTTAAGGCCATGTAAAAAAACTTCTACTTGAGAACTGAGTGATGTAAAAACACTTTTTAATTGGTGGCCAACAGACAAACTCGCCAAGTAAACACAATACTATAGAAAACAATAGGATAGGGATTCATGAGAGGAAACTAGGTCCATTTATCCATGCTCAAATGATCCCCAACAATACTATTTCCCTACACAGCTAGTAGAAGAAGCAATGTTTCTTCTGAGCAATCTGTGGATATAAAACTCCTACTAAATGAACCTATAGGAGAATATAAATTTGTTTATGAAACAAGCTTACAAAGAAATGCAGTGATTCATCTGAAGAGCTAGTATAATGTACAACAGCATCTCTGCATTTCTCCATTTGCAGCTCCTTTTGTCCCCAAGAGCTGTCTGGCATCTGACCCCCAGCTGTAGCATCATATTGGGACCTCTGGAGCCTCTAAAGTATAGGGCCTAACTGGAGGAAGTCACAGAGAGGCAGGCCTTGAAAATTATAACCCAGTTCCACTTCCTGTCCTACCCAGACGTGAGAAAACAGTATCACTCTCTGGTGGCCTCAGCTATGTCACAGTGCCACTAGGCACGGCGGAACATACCAACAAAGCACAGGCCAAATAAAGCCTTCTCTCAAGTTGCTTCTTATTAGAAATTTAATTAGGGCACTAAGCAGAGTAGGTAATACAGAAAATTAGTACAGAGAGTGGTGTTCTTGCTATGGTAAAGCTGGCATTTGGTTTTAGGCCTTTATAGATGTTTGAGGGTGGAATGTGGAAGATTTTGGAGCTATTATGTAGAGAACCCCTAAAACATTGTAACCAGAGCTTGACTGGCCAATCTAATGATAGTTTAGAAAATCAGGATGTGAGAAATGCAAACAGTGGGGCCAAGTTCATGATGTTTCAGAAGAAACAATAAAGATTGGGAATTGTGCCAAGAGACTGTTTTTATTACATTCTAGAAAGAATCCGGCTGCATTTTACCTATTTCCTGATAATATGAGTTAGGCTGAATTAAAAAGCAATGGATTAATATGTTTGGTGAAGGAACTCTCAAGACAATAGTATCCAGGATCTGGCATTATTACTGCTCACCTCTCTTGGTCAGATTTACAGTGAGAAAGAACAGAAAGATGTGGGGGGAAATATGTGCTTTGGGAATGAAAGGAATGTGAGCAAGTTTAAAGCTGCAGATAAAGGAGGTGTGAAGAAAACAGCTACATTAGAGGTTAATGCTGGTACAGAAAAACCTCATATTCTTCACCAAGACAAAGGATGCCCTCAGGGCAAAAGATTGCCAACCAGGGAAGGTCCAGCTTTCAAAATAGCAAATTCATCTGAGAGGAGAGCGTTTGAAGTGAAAAAGCCTCAGCAGGGATTATCTCCTCGAAAACAAAATCACCTAGGAAAGTATATTTTGAAGTTACATTTCAAAGGCCACTGTGGTCCAACGGGTCCAGGCTGTTTCTCCAAAGAGCAGTAGATTTTGGTAGCAGCGTCAAGTTGATGCTGTACGCATACCAGGCATTAAAAGTGAAATAAAGAAGTAATGGAGGCTTGTACAGAGGCTCCAGAAAGCCAATCAGACAAACATGTAGCAGGGTTGATTCCCTGCATGGAGCTCCTGAGTCAGCTGTTATGTGAAACTATAAAGGAGAAGCCCTAAGTTGTAATGGAGACTCCAAAAGTGAGGGATATTGACCCAGGAAAGCTACAGGCACTGGAGAGAGCCAGACTAACAAGAGAAGCTGAATGTGCACTGCTGGTAACACAGCTGGAAAGGTGTGGGTCTACCCAGTCCCAGTAGAACTCCCATGATGCCAAGAACCCAAGTTGGCAGACACGGAACTCCAGGGTTTGGTGTTTACGATGATGGGTTTCGGTCTTGCTTTGATCTGATCTTTCCTTGTGCTCCCAATTCCTTTTTTAAAATAACAATGTTTATTCGGTGCTATTGTATATTGAAGTATGTATCTTGATTTTTTTTTTTTTTTAAATTTTACAGGGGCTTACAAATAACAATCTGCCTTGAGTCTTAGCAGGCTTTGTAGTTTTGAAGTGTTGGAATTATAAGACCATAAGACTTGAAGCTGGACCAGAAGCATTTTGCATTATAAAATGGCCATGAACTTACAGGGCTAGGGATGAAATGTGCCTGTTAGGATGTAAAATATCCACCAGAGGCTCAGGAATGTGAACATTTGGTTTCCAGGTGGCAGGTGCTGTTTTGGGAACTGTGGAACCTTCAAGACATGGTGCTCCACCAGAAGAAGTGGAACTCAGATTTACAGCCAGGTCTCTTGTCCTGTCCTTCCCTAGACCCACAGAGATCTGAGCAAGAAGGCTCTTGCTGCCACGGCTGTTGCCATGCCTTCTCAGTCACGGTACTCCCAAACCACACATCCAAATACCTCCTTCTTCCTTTACCTTACTTCTTGTCAGGTATTTAGTCATACCAATGAGAAAGCAATACAGTGTCCACGTAAATATATTAGGTTTTTGCCCAACCAGAGAAGACTCTTTAAAATCCATTATCATTGCCAAATTTGTTATTGTTGTTTGTTTGTTTTTAAGACAGAAGTATTTATTTTGGTTTAGGATTCCAGGAGGAAAGGGATCAATCATGGTGGGGAATTGTGGAAGCAGATAGGAGATAAGGCATCAGGAAGAGTAAGAGTTCATGGCTCAAACTTTGAGCAGGTAGCAGAGTTTGGACTGGGAATTGTGGTAAAATATTGTGTACCCTAATAAACTTGCCTGGGTATCAGGGGACAGAGCCAGCCACTAGATTAGACACAGAGGTCAGGCAGTGGTGGCACACACCTTTAATCCCAGTACTGGGAAGCACACACACCTTTAATTCCAGGAAGTGATGTCTGGGCAGAGAAAGGTATATAAAACTCTCTTCAGGCTGAGGATTTTGTAGAGATAAGAGCTAGTGGCTGGCTGTTCTGCTTCTCTGATCTTTCAGCTTTCATCCTTATATCTGGCTCTGGGTTTTTATTAAAAGACCATCTAAGATTCGAACAACAGGGAATAGTGTGGGGCTTTTAAATCTTAAAGCCCTTCCCCAGTTATATACTCTCTCTAGCAAAGCCATGCTTCCTAAACTGATGTAATCAGCGTGACTACAAGAGAACCAAGTTTTCAAGTATCTGAGCCTCAAGTGGAGATTGTCTTGCAAAGTATCACATACAATGTTTTTGTTTATGTAATGAGGCCTGGGCATGTGGACCTCTTTTGTTGTTTCTGTATTTGATATGGGTGAAGGAAGCTGGGAAAGCCCACTGTATGTGCAGGGGGTTGAGCCTGAACACTGACTGATATGGCATGGAAGAGATGAACTCAGATGACAAAGGGATAGGCTTAGGCACAAAGTCTGACATTCAGGCTAGAACTGTTGATTAAGAAGAAAGCATGGAATGAGTGATGTTGTGGATTCATTAGTCTGAATTCAGGTATAAGATTTATGGGTCCTGACAGGCATGGTAGAGCTGATTGGGTTGCATAGAGTGGAGTTGGTGAGTAGATTATCTTCCCAGCTAGGTATAAGGGCAAGGAAGGGCTCTTTATAGGTGTGTTAAGAGTTAACAAGGCAAACTGCATTCTCTACTGTAAATGGAAATGGCCCACAGAGGCACTGAGCATTGCTGAGGGTGGGTCTAACGGCCCTCCCAGCTGAGAGGCGGCCGGTCCTACAGTATATGGGAAGAGTGCTCAGATGAGCGGCATTTGGTGTGTCTTTGGAAAAGGAACTCAGATCTTGATGGATGAATGGCTTTGGGGAGGAGTCCAGGTTACCCAACTAGGAATGGGGCAAACTGAGTCTGTTCATAAGAGTAATAGGGTAAACACACTATTGGGACTCCCTAGCTTATGATGCTATGCAGAAAGTGACACAGAGCCTACATGGGTCTACACTAGGTCCTCTGCATATATGTTATGGTTGTTAGCTTGGTGTTTTGGTGGGACTCCTAACAGTGGAAGTGGGGGTGTCTCTGACTCTTTTGTCTGCTCTTGGGACCCTTTTCCTCCTACTGGGTTGTCTTGCCCAACCTTGATATGGAGGTTTGTGCCTAGTCTTGTTATACTGTGTTCTGTTGATATCCCTGAGAGGCCTGCTCTTTTCGGAAAAGAAACAGAGAAGGAATGAATCTGGGGGGGAGGGGAGGTGCGTGTGTTCGGGTAACTGGCAGGAGTGGAGGGAGGGGAAACTGTAGTTGGGATGCATAGTATGAGAGAAGAATAAATTAAAAAAGAAGAACACAAAATAAACATTTTTAGGGCAGTTGCCAAGAGTGGGGTAGTTTCAAATCTTATTCCAACAATCTTTTTCTAAGTTTGTCTGTTATACTATATAAATAAGGCCAACCACTCTATTAATTGAAAAATCATAATTCTTTTTTTTGTACCCCCTCCTGGATTAATAATATTTTTCTTCTCCCTTTATTAAAAATATTCAGCTAGGTAGTGGAAGTGCATGCCTTTAATTCTAGCACTTGGGAGGCAGACACAAACAGATCTCTGATTTTGAGGCCAGCCTAGTCTACAGAGCAAGTTCCAAGACAGCCAGGGATATACAAAGAAACCCTGTGTCAAAAAAAAAACAAACAAAAAAAAAAACCAAACCAAATAAATAAATAAAACTTTTTAACATTGGCTACAGGTACTAACTTCTTTGCTGCTGGCCCAAAATTGGTATTTATCATGGTGTTGTCATGGACACAAGGCAGGTGGTCACAAAGGAGGAGAAGGTTAAACCTGCAGTGCCCGGCAAGAAAAGAATGAGCAAAGGGCAGCCTTAAGCTTCTGGACTCTCTTCTCAACTGCAACTATGTACATGAAATCCCTGCTCAAGAACAGGAGGAGTGAGAACCACAGAGAAAGCCTGGCAAGCTACATCACAGAGACCATGTTCAGGCTGTTGGCTACTATCACATTCACCGCCTTATCTGTTGAACTTTTACCAAAAGAACCAGTTTCCCTCTCTTCTATGATGATCTTCTATGTATTTTAAAAATATGTATTTAAGGCACAAAATATCATTTTAAAGAGATGCTTCAGCCTCTGATGGAAAAGTGGAAATCTGTTTTACACTAAAAACTATTCAAAATGAAGAGCTATTAACACAATTATTAAATTTCTAAATGTTTAAATTATAGCCTATTATATTGATTTGTTTTGTTGTTGTTGTTTTTCGAGACAGGGTTTCTCTGTGGAGCTTCACGCCTTTCCTGGAACTCGCTTTGTAGCCCAGGTTGGCCTTGAACTCACGGAGATCTGCCTGGCTCTGCCTCCTGAGTGCTGGGATTAAAGGCGTGTGCCACCACCACCCATAGCCTATTATTGAAATGATAATTTTCTATTAAAAGCAGTCCTTCCCTATGAACTGCATAAATTCATTTACTTTTTCACTGAGTCTCACTCTCTTATTTCAAAGTGAGAGACTGTTAAAGGACTAGAGGAAACTCCAAGCAGCAATTTGCATGCTCTTAAAATTTCCTTCTATTTTAGTTCAAAAAAACTAACTTACTAGTTAGTTTTCAGAGTCAACACATTCATACAGCAATAACCTTAGAACTTTAAATCTTGATTAGTTGTATACTCCATAATATGTTTACAAGAAAACTGTAAAATATAATTCCTTCCTCATCAAGCTTATTATTAACCATGGAAATGTCACATGTACACACATACAGTATGGAAGGAAAGACAGTAAGCTGCATCTATGCCTGTATCTCAGAAACTTGTGACAACATGGTAGTCACGTGACATGACAAAGGAAGCTCCCTGGCCCTTACAACGGAGATCACGATAAACTACCCAGGAGGCCAATGTGATCACAAGGGACCTATCACAGGAAAAGCCTTGGTGAAGAATCAGTCCAAGGAAGTGCCATTAAGGGAAGCACAGACCAGTTTCTGCTGGTTTTGGATATGTCCTGAAATCATCAGACAGGCAACAGCTAAAAGCTGGAAAGTCAAGAATGTTATTCTTTCTCGTCTCCAAAAGGAACTATAACGTTTTAGATCAGGAGTTTTGAACTTGTAACATCCATGTATTTTCCAAAATTAGTGATAATAAACCACAGAACCAAGCTCAAAAAGGCTCATCTAGGTTTAAAACAAAAACAAACAAACCTATACTACTTTGCTTAAGACAGAGGCAAATACCAGCTGATGAAAGCAGCCAGAGAAACAGGCTGCAACACACACAGAAGTCTCCACACACAGCACTCTGATGACCATTTTACTAGAAGACACAAAGAAAGGGCGGACTGTGAATACAAGGCCAACGTCTGTTTATTTGCTTCCTAGATACAACCCCACAGCAGAAGACACAAGAAACTCTAAAGTAATTGTCTCTGGCTGGGTTGGCTGGCAAGTTGGAGGAAAGAAGGGGCACACACAAGTCCATGCCTTCATATTTTACATTTTCAGAAAAGTACAATTCTGTCTTCTGAAGATGTTTAAAAACAAACAAACAAAACTTCTATTAAATTTCACACCATTTCAAACCAAGGCATCCCCTTTTCTGTGTTATGGTTGCTCTCTGGGTGTACTGTAAATGAAGAAAGGGCCACTGTTCACCATTATATCCTATTACCATCACCTCCACATTAGGTGCAACTTCCTACCTTAGAAAGTCCTGGAAGGTACTCAGAAGTAAACACTGATCATACCAGCCAATAAGCAGCTCTAGCTGCTGCCTGGTAAGTGGAAGGCATGATGTTAGAAGAAGGTGAGAGGAAAAAGAAAAGAACTCTGCAAGTTCTTACCACAGTCATTAAGGTCAACTACAGACAGGGAACCACAGGGAAAAGGCATTTGGAAAAAAGCAATTAGCATTCTTGAAATAGAAGATTGAAATTATTTTCCCCCCTTTATGGGGAAAAGTTCTGTAAAATACTCACTCTAAATGATTTTTCATCAGGAGACTTTGCTTTGCTTTTTGTAAACCTTAACTTATGCAATAAAAATCCACATTTACACAAACAGAAAACAGCTGTTCTTCTAAAACTAAATCTAAAATGAAGACTAGTTCTTCAGTGCTCAAATGTAAAGCTGCCAATGAACCTCCATCCTCTGTAAACTAAAAGACACACACTTGCTCTTCCTGAGTCAATACTGATAATCCCGCCCCCCAAACCCTTATAATCATCAGTAACAATCTTTCCTGATAGCCAAAAGGACAGTTTATCTCAGCAAAACTCTGAATTAGTTATTCTTTATGGGGTAATATGTTTTCAAAATGACTCAGATTTTAATTTCTTAAGTTGCACAGAGTTGAGGAATGGAAACAGGCACTCTTACTGGTGTTCCTGCGTCCACGTAGCTCTGAAGCTTGTTTCTCATTTCTTTTTCATTAAATTTGGCACTTCGTTTTACATAAATTCCTCCATGCTGGTACATAAAAAAGAAAAAGAGAAAGAGCAATTACTCTTTAAATAACTAATCATCGTAGTCATCAAAAAGGCAGCTTTACTTCCAATGAGTCAAGTATAAAACTACATTTTAGAACTACAGTTAATATTTAAATATTACCATCTATACAATTTATAACTGAAAATTCTATTTCTACAGAACCCAAGAAAAACTGCATGCTGCACTGTACTAAAAAATACACAAACATTTAATTTTGCTAGCAGTTAAAATATTCTTCCTTTCTTTAAAAGATTTAGTTCAAAAATTTCTTGTGATGGATCTTAACTCATTGATTTCTACTGACTCACTGATGACTATCATCAACAAAGTAATTACAAGTATCCAGGATGAGAGATGGCTCAGCGGTTAAGAGCACTTTTTGCTCTTTCAGAGGACCAGGGTTCAGTTCTTAGCACCCACATGGTCACAACCATCTCTAACCCAGTTGCAGGGGATTCAGTGTCTTTTTCTGACCTCCATGAGCACCAGGAACACATATACACAAGATACTCAATCACATAAAATAAAGCCAATTAAAAATAATAAATAAAAGCGGCCACTGGCGGGGAAGGAAGGGCCTAAAAAAATTTTTTTAAAGTCTATCTACACTTACAACCTTTAGGGAATTAAAATATGTACTAAGTACTAGAAATACATATACTAAAGACACTCAATCACACAAAATAAATTAAAAACAATAAGTAAATGAAGGAAGGAAGAGAGGGAGGAAAGAAGAAAAAAATAAAGCTGGCTATTGGCCAGGAGGGAAGGGCATAAAAAATAATTTTAAAAAAGTCTACATTTACTACCTTTAGGAAATTAAAATATATACTCATCTACAAAGATTTATGTGACATCATTACAGACTGAATTTTGTTCCCCTCAAATCTTATATTGAAGCCCCAACTTCCACAGTGACTATATATGGAGATAAAGTCTATAAGAAAATAATTACAGTTAAGTGAAATATACTAGCTAGGGCCCTGCTAGTGGAACACACACCAAGAATGCATATATGTGGAAGAAAGGCCAGCTCAGAATACAGGGAGAAGGCAGTCTGTAAGCCAAAAAAACGTGGCCTTGAGAAAAAGCAGTACCACCCATCCATAGTCTGATCTTGAGATTTTCAGCCTTCAAAACTGTGAGAAATACATTCCTTCACATTGAACACTTCATACACTGAGCTCAGTACCTGGTTTTATCTCCTAGAGATTACTATTTTTGAATCAATTTTTTTTGACTTTTTAAAAATAATTTATTGCCCGGTGGCAGTGGTGCATGTCTTTAATCCCAGTACTTGGGAGGCAGAGCCAGGCGGATCTCTGTGAGTTAGAGGCCAGTCTGGTCTACAGAGCGAGATCCAGGACAGGTACCAAAACTACACAGAGAAACTCTGTCTCAAAGAAAAAGAAAAAAAAACTAAATAATTTATTTTTATTTTATATGCAATTGGTTTTTGCCTTCATGTATGTCTGAGTGAGGGTGTCAGATCCTCTGGAACTGGAGTCACAGACAGTTGTAAGCTGTCATGTGGGTGCTGGGAATTGAACCCAGGGTCTCTGGAAGAGCAGTCAGTGCTCTTGATCACTGAGCCATCTCTCCAGCCCCTTGAATTATCTTAACATAATTGATTGTCAAATTCTATGCCTTTTAATTTTCTATTTGACTTCTAGGTGTTTGTATTTCTGCTATTCCATTTGACTATTTGGAAAACCAGACATGTAGAGACTCACAATTAAGAATAAGAGCTGTGGAGAAGGCTTAGTTGGGAAAGCACTTGTCTCACAAATATGAGGATCCAAGTTTGGATCCCTAGAATCCATGTAAATAACTCGGCACAGCAGTGCACACTTGTAATCCCAGTAATGGCAAGGAGGCAGAGACAGGGAGTTCCTGGGGCTCACTGGCTAGCTAGCCTGGCCAACAGGGCAAAGGTCTAGGAGATTGTCTCAAACAAAAAGTGGAAGGTGCGTGAGCAGTGACACCCAGGGGAAGGTGTTTGGCAGTTGTGCCAAAACCTGTCCCCTGACCTCCATATGCATCATGCACATTATGTGTACACACACAGAATTCTAAATAAAAATACTTACATTTAAAATAAGCCATTATAAGCCATTTTAAAAACATCTGTACTGAGCATGCACAAGGCCCCATGTTCAATCACTAGTACCATAAAACAAAGAAAACCGGACATATTTTCATTAAATTGTGTTGAATTTGAAATAAAAGAGCAAAGACAAAGGTTACCTGAGCAAAGTAAAACCCATACAATGGAAGCCATTTTAACCCGTCTTTCAGCACATAGCGCACATGTCCAAGGGCATCCTGCCGGGCAGCCAGCATGTCCGCAATAATCCAGTCAACTGTAAGAAAGAACCCAGTCAGTACATGACTAGCCAAAGTCAATTTCCACCTTCCCCTCACAGAAACAAAAGCTCTTCTTCTTCAGAGTACTGTCTGCACAAGATAAATGAAACATGACCACGGAGTCAGACGCAGAAGGACCACGAGCTCAAAGGCAACCTAGGCTACAGATCAGGTTCAGGCCCAGCAGGGCAACACAACAAGACGTGTTGAAATCGCTTTTTTAATTTTTTTTTTTTAAAATATGATTAAAATGCTTAAAACACAGCCAATTCCAGACACATTAAAAATAAATAAATTATAAATTAAGGAGGAGCTATCTTTCCCCATTTCTTAAAAGATCTTTTATTTTAAGGATAAAACACAAAAAAACTACAAAATACATAGGGCTGGAGAGATTTTGCTCACTGGTTAAGGACATTTGCTGTTCTAGCAGAGGACCTAGGTCTGGTACACACATAGTGGTTCTGCCTCTAACTCCAGGTCCAGTGATGCTCTCCTCTGAGTTCCAAGTGCACCAGGTATATACACGGTACATATACATATATATATGCAAGGACTCTCTCTCTCTCTCTCTCTCTCTCTCTCTCTCTCTCTCTCTCGCTCTCGCTCTCGCTCTCGCTCTCGCTCTCGCTCTCGCTCTCTCGCTCTCGCTCACGCTCTCGCTCACGCTCTCGCTCTCGCTCTCTCACACACACACACACACACAAATAAAAAACAAATGTTTAAAAACTTAACAAATTATTAAAATGATCTACTAACAGAATATAAATGGGACAAAATCACTTTTAATGAAGGCTAAAAACACCAGAAATGTTTCTTTTTTAATGAATAGAAAATATAAACAAAAAATGGCAATAAAACAAGTGCAGTTAAATATTCTATATATATAGTCTCTGACAAAAGGCCACTGCACTACCTCTTTATTAATGACTTCATGGACACAGTGTTCAACTGGAACAGCAGCCAAACAAGGATCTCATGTGATGGAAACAGTGCTAGGTAGATATGTATTCCTTATTTCTCAGTGTTTGAAACTGTGGGCTGCAATCTTATAACAGGTTACTTTAGAGGTTGAAAAAACTTTGGGGATAAAAGTTTTTTTTAACAATGACCAAAATTAATTCAAAATCAAAAGCATACTGATTCGGGTGTTTCCGGGATCTCTCCCCCACGCTGTACTGAGCAGCTTTCATTCTGAACACGTAACTCGTGTGCTTCTTACTACACATGCTGTGTCCCGCCATGCAACGCCAATCAATGGTGCCAGAAACAAACATGACTCAGATTCAAGACCAGTAGAATGTTATTAAGTGCAGTGCATTTAACACCACACACACACACACACACACACACACACACACACACACACACACACACACGAGTTTCCTGCTGTGTGGGAGCCCGTGTTCGGGTTCCTCGTGGCTTTACTCAGCAGGTCCGAATAGAGGATGATTAGGACCACGGGCCTGAGTGCAGGTGTCTGAGATGGTCTGCACTTGGCTGTGCTGGGGGAGGAGGTCTTTTGCTCCACCCCTTGGCGTCTCTATAAAAACCCTGAGGCAGAGACAGTCAGGGCCCATTGGAAAAGGTTCCAGGCCCTCTCGAGGCTATCCTTTATTTTCTATCTGTTTATCTCCGCAAGATTCTCCACTATAAATCCTTCTATCTAATATTTCCTGCTGTTCACACTCAAAACTCTGGGGAGCTGTAGGGTTGGTGGGTAAATGCCCCATACTGCTGTTACAGAAATATAATGGTTTAATTACAGAAGATATTTAATATTTCACCACTACCATTCCTCAGCATGTAAATACCAAACTAGTATACCTTTCTATTGTATTGCATTTGAATGTTTGATTTTAAAAACTGTTGTTTAATTGTTAGCTTGAGTTTCATTAAATAAATTTTGACCTAATAACAGAATGGAATTTCAAACAATTTCTGGAATGGCATTAAACACAATTGTGCAGTGTTGTACTATGTGTTTATGGAAACAACCTTCTTAGCATCAACAACTACAAAATCAAAATCCTGATAAATTCTGAAAAACACTGAAATGGTCTACATCCTATAGTATCAAATACTGTCAAAGTCAACTTCTTATTTACAAATTCAAGCATATCATTATGCTTTCATCTTTAATAAATGCTAAAATTATATGTATTTAAAAATAAATCTCTTTACTATTTATTATTAGTAAATGTTTGATCATATTATTCTTATATACCTGGGGGTCATGTAAACTTTATCAGGTGAAATAAACAGAAATAAAGTGTCCTAAAAAGCAGAAAAATTTAAGACTTAATAAATGGCTGCTGAACCTTCCATGAGAATGGAAACATCAAGGTGAGAGGTAAGGAAAAGTCTGTTAGGATTCAGAGAGGAATTCAAGGGTGTGAAATAGGGATGTTGCTGAGAATCTGAAGTCAAGTGTATTCAGGGCCATGAAAATGAGAACAAATGGAGTCAATTAGAGAAGACATTTATTGTAAAGCAACAAATGATTACAGCCAGTCTGACATGCAGGCCTGTAATCCCAGCTACTTGAAAGACTGAGGCAGAAGGATCATGAACTCAAGGCCCACCAAGGTAACTTAGTGAGACTATGCTTCAAAAGAAGAAATAAAAAGGACTGGGGGTGTCCACGCGCTTTGCAACCAACTAACTATGGGAAATATTACAACGCCTGGAGTTTAAGGACTTATCAAAATGGGGCACTTTCCCATAGCTATAGTATAATTCTTGACCATTTAAAATTCTTTCCTAATGCACACACAAGTGGAACATTCTAGAATTTTCTCTCTTTAAATAATGAATAATCAACTTTCAAGAAAAATCTTAATTAACTATTTTAAATTAGAAATTACAAAAGTTATTTCTAGTTAAATCTTATAACCAAGCCCGTGAGGAGAATATCTAATATAAACATTGTCTATATAGACACTGAGAACTAACTCTGTGAAGGCTCTATGGCAAGGGTCCTCAACCTTATTAATGCTGTGACCCTTTAATACAGTTCCTCATGTTGTGGTGACCCCAACCATAATATTATTTCATTGCTATGTCATAACTGTAATTTTGCTACTGTTATGATTCATAATGTAAATATCTGATATGCAACCCCAAATGGGTCATGACTTACAGGTTGAGAAACACTAATCAATGGTGTTCCCTGGCCAGTGTATATCCTGGATATAAATGAGATAAATAGCTAAAAGCCAAATTTGATATCTTTTCCTAATACTTTATTTTTTTAAAGCTTAGGGAATAATACATTCATTTTCATATTTAAGTAGCTATATTCTGGACTCTGGTGCACCTTCTAAGAATTATTGAGAATATATAAATATTTAAAAATATGTCATGTGTATAGGGTAAACTGCCCTGAATCATGCCCTTAAATTTGAAAATTTTAGTAAAAACACTTAAGAAGTAACTTACACGCTGAGGCATGGTGGCAATGCCTTTAATCTCAGAGCTGGGGAAGCTGAGGCAGGCAAATCTCTGAGTTCAAGGTCAGTCTGGTCTACAACGCAGGTTCCAGGTCAGTAAGACCTTGTCCCAAATACAAAAGAACTTAGATAGTCCAATGACATAGCATAGACTCACCATGTCTACTCTATTCACTCACACTGAGGTTTTGGAGGTAACACTGGATTAAAACATAGAAGGGAATGTACTGCATTCCCATAAATATTTTTATTCTGTGCTCTGGCAAGAATAATTTAATTTGGTTAAGTTAGGATAAGCAAAGCCATGTTCCCCTCAACTTGCAGGGAGAATGGACAAATAAGCCTTATTTTCCTCATCTGAATAGTTATGTCTCATTAGTTTCTAATTCTTTGGGTTATGATATATGACCCATAAGAGCTTGTGCCCATGATCCAGCACTGTGCTATAACCACCATCATCCACACTACTGCTAAATGTCACCCATATGCCAGACACTCTACTGGGATTATGAATGTAACTATTTGCACACTGACTTAAAGCCTCAATCACTAGGCATCACTCACATCTAACCCACAGGCTCAGAGAAGCCGAGTACTCTGCCCATTGGCACAGAGTCTACAGGAGGAGCACACTTACACAGGGTCTCCCAGACTGCAAAGCTCTCAAGTGTTTATGACCATCTACTCAACCATACATAGTCAGGAAACTGCCATCTAAACTAAATGAGCGGTAATGAAGTTTAAAAGGTAAACAGTGTCAAAGCAGACAATTAAGAGGGAGAGGAGGAATCACTCCTCTGGAGTCAAAAGTTTACGTAAGTAAGGCTATAGAGACAAAGATGTCAAGTAAAAGCAGCAGCTGAGAGACTAATGTAAATGTCAACTCTACATGAGCATCACCAGCAAGTGCTGGGTGAGGGTGAGCAAGGCTGGACCAACAGTTCTGACATTCTCAGAGATGTTCCACTGTGATTCTTACAAATACAGCAACCCACACTGGGTGGCCAGGCTTTAGAAGCCTCTGGAAGCCTAGAATTACATGCAAAAAAACAGGTGTAGTTTTCTCATATCAGAATCCATACCTTCCTCCAGCATATACAGACTAACATGCAGTTCTAATACAATCCAAAGCCATCCTCTGGTATGTTCCCAAATTGTGGGTTTTTTAAAGGTGCTCAAAATGTAGCCTTCTTAGTTTGTGGTACATGTATGTGTTCGGCAGAGTTCTTGCTTAACAAGCAAGGAGCTCTGGGTACTATCTTCACATTGACAAAAAAATTTAAAAATTTAAAAAAGAGTGTTTGCCAGCCAGTGGTAGAATATGCCTTTAATCCCAGCACTTCAGAGGCAGAGAGAGGCTGATCTCCGTGAGTTCAAGGCCAGCCTGGTCTGTATAGTGAGTTCCAAGACAGCTAGAGCTACACAGAGAATGCCTGCTTGGGGATGTGGGGGAGAGAGGTGTTCTTTTTGGGAATAGGAAAAATCACCTTGTCCTTGGTACTGTCATTTTGACTTCAGACTCCATTTTACCTAACGGATGAAACCAAGTCCAGGTTCCCAAGCCCTAGGCAAGCTGGGAACTTTTCAATAGCTGACCCACCTCATCCCCTAAATCATAAAAATAGTCGTTCTGCATCTTTGGTTCTCTAGAAACATTATGCCTGCTCTTAACAACAGAAGGAACAAATGAATCTGATTGGTTGGACTGAAGCTTGCATTGTATGTCCCTAATGTCTAAATCCTGATTGGTGAAAACTGTAGCTGTAACTCGGCAACAAATGTTTGTGATTTTTGTGCTTAAATACTTGCTTCAACTGACATTCAGGGTTACAGTTCAGCTCCCAATCTACAGCCCGATCAATCGAATCCTCCCCTTCCCCACTTCTTCTGTGTTGCCCTGCATTAAATCCTGCCCTGCAGTAATCTCTTGTGTCTGCTTGGGTTGATTCAGAACCTTGGAGCACAACATTTTCAACCCCTAAAGGTTGGGTGTTATTAGGCATCAGTTCTAGAGCAGGTCTCTTGGATGCAGGGTGGGGGAATATCCCTCTAGACTAAGAGTCAGTATGGCCTGGCTTGGATCTCTTGCTTCCCAGGTCACCTTCAAATTTCCAACACCAAGTAGGATTCTTATCTGCTGCTCACTTACATTGTTTTTCCTGAGGTCTGCTCTAAAGGAATACCAAAGGCCAGAATGGACAACAGTGAAATGCCAGCCTCAGCTCTCTCCTCAGAAGGCCTGTTACTGCATGGCCCCCAGGAGTGCTGGAGTTTGTGGTTCCACATGCCCTTGCTAGGACTGCAGTTCTGTTAAGGAAAGCTTATTTTCATTAAACTAGAAGAAAGAAGCTAAAGAAAACTGCATGGATATTTGAGCCAGGTAAAAACTCCCCTCAACAACAGGAGGTCAGGCTGTGGTGGAAAAGGTCAGCATGTCTGGACAGGCCAATTAGAAGCAGACAGTCACCCTGGGTTATTTTGTGGTTCTGCTAAAAGTCAAATGCAGAGTCTAAGCCAGTCTCATAAACATGACCCAGGATAATACATCTGATATCAAAATTTCTATCCAGCTTTGGAGCTTCAGCCACTGTCCTATCAATCTGATAAAATTACCAGTGTGTCAAACAGAGAAAAACTCGTTTCAACTCCTTTGTCTCTGCATTGTCTACGGTGCACGTAGTATAAAAGCAACAAAATCCCAACAAGTTGGCTGACGGGAGGGAAACAAGGCCATAGGCACAAGTGACTTTCCATTCAGAATATTATCATTGTTTGGGGTGTTTTGGCTTTGGGCTTCTAGGCACTGTTCTTTTCAAAGCAATAAAAATGAAACACAGAAGGTATGTATCCAAAGCAGCCATCGGTTTAAAAAATACACAAAGTGTGATTTTTGGAGGAAGTGAATTACTTGGATAATTAAAGCATACTTTGGCTAATCACCTGACTGCCCTGGCTCACGCTCTGCACCTGTTAGACGTCCCATGTGGAGAAACTTCATGAAGGGACCGCAGGATTCAATGTATAGCTTTTACAATTTATTGATAATTATTTAAAAATACATAGTTTTTGGCGCACGCCTTTAATCCCAGCACTTGGGAGGCAGAGCCAGGCGGATCTCTGTGAGTTCGAGGCCAGCCTGGGCTACCAAGTGAGTCCCAGGAAAGGCGCAAAGCTACACAGAGAAACCCTGTCTCAAAAAACCAAAACCAAAAAAAAAAAAAAAAATACATAGTTTTATGTATTTGACCTGACTGAAAGTAAATAGAGTTCTATACTGGAAACTAGTCTTATGCTGTCTCTGATGGAAGAATAGCAAGTTAGAATTAAACCACCATGACTCAAGAGGCAACAGGAACTACAGATGTGAGAGCTAATTATAACACGACACTGCATCCAGGAAATGAGCGGTCACACACCAGCACACCAATAAGCAACTTAATCAGAAATATAAAGTGCAGACAGTGGTGGCATACAACTGCAATCCATTACTTCAGAGACTGAGGCAGGAGAATCATGAGTTAAAGGCCAGCCCTGGCAACATTGCACGAGTATGTCTCAAAGTAAATAAAAGGCTAGACAAAGAATTAATAATTAAAATATATACACACGGACCCACCAATTCCACTTCTAGAAATACAACTTACAAGCAGAAAACTGAATAGACTATTCCAGGAAATGGGTGAGAAGTAAGAAGATGGCCTAGTACATGCAAAAGAGAAGCCTAGAAAAAAACCATACCTTTCACATTCATATGTTAACAACAAAAACAAAACAAAACTCACTTTGTTTAAATATAAAAAAATTAATATTTTTAAGGCTGAAATCAGGGCTCAGCCATTAAGAGTACATATTTCTCTTACAGTTTAGCTTCCTAAACCCACACAGAGTAGCTAACAACCAGCTGTAACTAAAGCTCTGTGGCAGATCTGATGCTCTCTTCTGGCCTCCACAGGCAAGTGCACTCACATGGTCAAACCCATAGACAGACACATATACACATAATAAGTCCAATTAAATAAATGACCTTAAAGATATTACTTTGATGAGCTAGGGGTTTAGCTCAGATGGTACAGCGCTTGTCTAGCATGTATGAAACCTTGGATTTAATCCCAGCACCACATAAGCCAGGTATACAAAACACCTGTAATTCCTGTGCTTGGGAGGTGAAGGCAGGTGTATCCCAAGCTTAAAATCATTCTCAGCTACTTAGAGAGTACGAGGCCATTCTGGGTTATATGAGATCCTGTCTCTAAAACATATGTATGTTTGTATATTTTAATGCTCACTTACCATTTGTAGAAAAATCCAAATTTCAGGCAAATGAAATACATACCTGTGCTTTGATGATTTGCTAAATATATTACATTTTCTTTATTTTTTGGCAAATCTCCATATAGCAATATCTAAAAGAGAAGACAAAAAAAATCATTACTTTGATAATTCAAAACATGTGCATGAAATTACAGAAAAAAAGGTGAAAGAAAATTGACAAGCACACACTATAACTAGCCCTATCCATGACTAATAAACATCAGAGCTCTCTTGAGAGCCCCACACACCATAAATAGCTCATGCTTATAAAGTGCTTAAATATAGGACAGGTTAATGATCATAAAGTAAGACAGGATGATTGATATCCCTATAAGAAAATCCAGAAAAACGTATTGATTGCTAATAATATATAAAACTTCACCGTACAATGAAGACAGGCATATACATATCAACTATAATGAGACATAACACAAATATTATAAAAATACTCTATTTTTACTCTATATTTTAAGGATCTGTAAAATGGAGAGCTGGTGTATTCGTTGGGTATGGTTTTTGCCAATGAGATTAGAGGTTTTCTGAACAGAAGACCAAATGAAAGCCGTGTGTTGGAGTCCTCTGTTAGTACACCAGTGTGTGGAACAAAACTCAGGCTAAGGAGTGAGGAGACTGGAACAGAGAAGCCAGAAGGGTCTCTCTGAGCTGGAACATCAAGTCAGGGTCTCAAGCGGCCCAGGCTGGCCTCCACCTCCCGAGTGCTAGGACTGCAGTGTGTGCCGCTCTACCCACCTGGCTACATCTCACTACAGGTTTTCACTGTCCTGGTTCTGTTGTGATCTTAAGTATCCAATGATAAAGGAAACAAAGGGGCATCTTTATTTGGTTGCTGTTCTTACACTTTATCATTATGGATTATGCAAGAGTTAGCTAAAGCTTTGGGTCTGCAATATCTGAAGGGATTACCTTGGTTGTGAAACTGCTCTCTAATATCTTAACAACAACAAAAAAGAAAAAGGCATTAATAAATCTTCTGTGAAAACAATACAGCTATATGATATAACGTCAGGATTTCAAGGACTTAGACTAAGGTCTCTGTTACCTTAGAAAACTGCACAGTGAGTATGTTCACATGTCCAAATATTTCTAACGAAGTTTATACACAAGTAAATAACAAATGATTAGTTGATCTGTGCAGGGTTAACATAAAGGTGCCAGCTCATGACCAATCCCCCTTCTCTTAGCAATAAACTAGAACTATTTGAGGACTACTGGGTACATGCTGAATTTAGAACTACAGATACACAGTAGTGTTTTGATGTGTGTGTGTGTGTGTGTGTGTGTGTGTGTGTGTACTTTTTTGACAAGATCTAAGGTTCTTTAGAGATAGGTCTAGCTTCCATGCTGAAGACAACACTCAAACCATCCAAAGGTGCCTGAAATCCCTGACACTTCAGTGGATAAAGCAGGAGGATTTGGAATTTGAGGCCAGCCTGGGCTGCTCAGCAAGAGTCAGTTATACACATACAACTCTGTCTCTGTCTCTGTCTGTCTCTGTCTATCTGTCTGTCTGTCTGTCTCTCTCGCCATTCATCATCCTTCTCCATTTCCTGTGGATGATTTGGTTGATATTACTAAAATGTATCTTTTGAATGTAGATTGCAAACAAACTACTAAAAGGCAGTTTTCACAGGATTAAAAGACAGAACTTCAAGGTTGTCCTTTATGAGACTGTATTGAATTTAAAAATAAAACAAGCATAATGAGGACTAGAGGACTAGAGAAGAAACCACAAAGTAAGTGGTACCCCCACTGTGGTCATAAAATAACACCATAGCTATGGCCTTCACTTACTGGGAGAAAGCTTGCCATGCATGCTAGAGGTCCTGGGGTCACCATCCAGCAACACACATACACACACATACACACACACACACACACACACACACA